GAGGCTGAAGAATCACCAGAGCCCAGGAGGTTGAGGCTGCGATGGCCGGGAGCGGCCACTGCCCTCCAGTCTGGGTGACAGAGTGAGACTCCAACTCAAAAAAAAAAAATAATAAAAATAAAAATAAAAAGTGGAATTTCAAGGATCATCCATGTCAGAGCAGCGTCATGGACCTCCCTGACAGTGCTGACCTGAGGTTACTTGCTTGGTGCTTTTTCTTGCCCAGGCCAAAGACCGGTACCAGGGAAAGCAGAACACATCATACATGCACTGCACAAGCCCCATGGCCTCTTTGTGTCTCAGTTTCCTCATTTGAAAAAAATGAGTGAATCTCAAGACATGCTTTTCAGAGTTCATAATGGGCTTCTACCCTGCTAACTAATAGCTGGATGACATTCTTACACATCAACAGTTGTTTACATGTGTTTGTCTTCTATTTCACTTACAGTTTTTGTAAAAACTGCATGTTGTGCCATGCTTGGAATGTTCCAAAGCTCAGTTCGGTGAAGAAATTGCATCCAAGATTTCTACAAAAAAGGAAATAAGCAAAGAAGGGAAAAGGTGTTATTTCAGAGCATTCATCATTTGGCAGGGATCCTAATTTATATATGATGGAACGTGACCTCAGGACTTTCTCCACACACCAAGGAAATCTCACCAGGATTGGCTTCTGACTCATACTTTCAGATTTACACGTGGGGTGCATGAGCTACACAACAGTGAATGCTCAGAAGCATCCGTGTTCATCATTGTTATTTCTCTGGAGCAGGGTTTCACAGCTTCAGTGCTACTGGTCTTTTGGGTTGTGCAGTTCTCTGTTGTGGGGTTTGTCCTGGACTCTGCAGGGTATTCAGCAACATCCCTGGTCTCTGCACCTCAGAAGCCAGGAGCACATCCACAGCAGTGACAACCAGAACTGTCTCCAGACGTTGCCAGATGTCACCTGGGTGCAAAACCACACTGGCTGGGAACCACTGTCTACAATGATTCTCTGTGACCTGTGATCTCATTAATTTTTGCTAGAGACCAAAAGGACTTGTTATATAATTCCAGTAACTTTCTACTAGTAACACCATTTGTATTTCAAAGTGAATAGCAAAAAGGTCTACAAATACATTTTATAAAAGTTCCAAGTACAATGAAGTCATGTCTGTAACTTACACGACCTGCAGAAATGGTAGAGATTCAAATGTCTTTCAATAAACTGAATTTTATTGCAGGATAAGTCTCTAGGAAAAGGACAAAGAAAGTATTACCTTGATTCACTGTTGGAAACCAAATTAGAAAGAATAAACAGTAGAGTTTGGGATGTTAAAACGGAACACACAGTCTGTCTAAACTCTAAGCATTTGGACTTGTGTTGAGCTCCCTGGAGCCCTGATCTGCCTGCACCTCTCCTGGAGTCCCCCTTTCATGCTTTTCGTAAATAAAATATTTCCCTCTACACACATCTTGAGAGATTCCTGACATCAGGAGACTTGATTGGATGATCTTTTGTAGTCTCATGAAATTCTAGATTATGATCCCAAGGTTTTTATCTCTATATATAATTTCTAATATTAAAAGGCATATTCTCACAATAACGTACTTTTCTGGTTTAGTTCTGTTTCCTCTAAGTCAGTTTAATACTAGAAGAAATATAAGCTATGCTTTCATGTAATTTGAAAGGAAATTACCCCACTAATACCTAACTTGGAAATAATTCAAATCATATTAACAGAAGCTCATTGTTGGTTTTATCTTGCCCTAATATCCCGTGAAAGCAAGTTCTTCAGCTGTCCAGTGGTGGGACAATCAGAAAACAACATGGAACTGTGATGTGGAAACCCCCATTCGTGACTAGAGTAGCCACTGTTTGCAGTGACTCCAGCTCGCCGCCATCTTCACCGGATGGCGTGGCTGTTGTCTGACTCTGTCTCCATCTCAGTCTCCCTCTTCAGTTCATCCTGCACACAGGCACCAGAACTCTCCAGAACTGGTTTTCAAAACCAGCATCACCTGGGTATTTGCTGAAGATGCAAATTCTTGACATTGCCCCAGCCTGAACAAAGCAGTAACTGAGGTGGAGTAGACAACTGACTTCTAACAAGCCCTCCAGGTGACTGAGATGCGGGCTCAGCCGGGCTTGGTGTCTCAGCCTGTAATCCCGGGCTTTGGGAGGCTGAGGTGAGTGGATTGCCTGAGCCCACGGATTCGAGACCTGCCCCAGAAACTTGGCGAGACCTCATCTCTACAATAAATTAAAAAATCAGCCGAGCATGGTAGCCAGCTACTTGGAAATCTGAGGCGGAAAGATCGCCGGAGTCCAGCAGGTCGAGGCTGCGGTGGCCGGGAGCGGCCACTGCACTCCAGTCTGGGTGACAAAGTGAGACTCCAACTCAAAAAAAAAAAAAAAAAAGAGATGCAGGCTCAAGTCTGTGTTAAAGGAGTGCTGGGATAACATGTGTCCCAGGACGGCTCCTTTGCCCTGGAAGATCTGGCTCCAGACTCCTGTTCCTCCTCCTTGGACTCTACAGGGATTCATGGCATTCCTCAAATGCCTTCTCCCTTTCTTCCATTTTCCTTTTGCAAGTTTAAAATATTCTCCCCGAGAGGGTTGTCTGATGCTACCTAGTGGCCCTTCAAGGCCTTGGTAAAAAGGCATTGCTTCTCATATGAAGCAGCGATCTTCATAGCAGCGTGATAATAACACCTTCCCTGATCCAAATGGAAGTCTGCGCCCTCTTCTAGGCTCCAGAAGCAGCGTATCCCCCCCTTGGGGCCTAGGTCTAGTTCTTGTTTTAATGCGATTATTTTGCCATCGCGTTCCTTCTCAGCATAGACTCCTTGAGAGCATGGACTGGGTCTTGCTCGCCTGCCCTGCCCTCCATGTTTAAGACGGAAATAAACTCAAATATTTAGACAATAGGAAGCTGGAAGTGAGTAGAAGGAAAAGGACTGCTTTAAAAGCAATGAGTGTGTTAGTCCGTGGCCCCTTTTCTGCCTCTCTGCCACACTCTGCGACCCACTCAGTGCTACGGGCTGCTATGGGTTTAGCATCTGTGTTTGTTCCCTGGTGAAGGGGAGGAACCTTGTCTTTCTCCTCTCTGAGTCCCCCAGGTTAGGCACCGTGCTTGGCATATCCCTTTTGAGCTTTTTAAATTGATTGGCATTTCTCTTTAATAAATGAGACTACGTGTGCTAACATGAAATGATTCGCTTACAAAGTTTCATCGCAGAAGCAATGACAGGCCTACTCCATTGAGCAGTCATCTCGTTGGCTTTTCCCCAAACATGGCAGAGGTGCCCAAGTCCAAAGGGACCAACCCCTAAGGCCTCAAAGATGTGAAAAATCAAAGGACTGCCCAAGTCCCACTCCCTTAAGCCTTCTACATCTGAAATATCGATTTGCTCAAAGGCACCATTCATTAGTTTAATGAGGATTAATGACTTACACACCTCTGGACCCCACAGACAAGGGATACAGATCAAGTTTTCATAGCTAAAAACATAGTATCTTCCTAACTCTAAACAGGCAGAAATACTAGGCAGGTGTTCCCTCCTTGGCGACAAGGCTGGAGAGTCTAATTTTGTGATTAGTTGGGGCATTTTGTGAAGAATTGGGCATTTCTGATTTCCTCACTTAGTGCAAATGCTTCCAGTTCTATCACTTCACTATCATTTTAAACACTGATGTTTTTCCTTTTTGCTTGAGTCGGAGTCTCACTGTCACCCAGGCTGAAGAGCAGTGGCACGCTTATGGCTACTGCAACCCCGACCTGCTGCGCTGAGGCAGTCTTCCTACCTCAGCCTTCCAAGTAGCTGGGACTATAGGCACCTGCCACCATGCCCAGCTAATTTTTTGATTTATTGTAGAGAGACCTTGCAAGTTGCCCAGGTTGTCTTGAACTCTTGGGCTCAGACGATCTTCTTGCCTCTGCCTTCCAAAGTGCTGGGATGACAGGCATGAACCACCGTGCCTGACCTTAAACATCTATTTTTAATATAAAAATTCCTGCCATGACATCCTAATACCAGTCATTCTCTTGGTAACTTAATATTCTTCATAATATTGTTTATATAATTCATCTGCTTAATTACTTAATATTAAATGTCAATTTATTTCTGATTAAATTATCAAACATTCTGGATTAATACAGTAAAATTAATTGAGGTGGTCTATATTTTCTTCTCCATTAGGCAACAATCTGAAGTTAACTTTACTTCCTCTCACTCAAATCCTTTTGGTGAAGGCCAGACAGCAAATGCTTCAGGCTTTGTGGTTATGGTTTCTGTGGCATGTTCTTACTTTCTTTTACAGTCCTTTAAAACTATTCTTTTATTTTTTATTTTTATTATTATTTTTTGGGTTGGAGTCTCACTCCATCACCCAGGCCGGAGTGCAATAGCACTCTCATGGCCACACCAGTGTCGACTTGCTGGGCTCCAGCGATACGTCCGCCTCAGCCTCCCAAGTAGCTGGATCTACAAGCTTGCACGACCACGCGTGGCTAATTTTTGATTTATTGTGGAGATGAGGTCTCTCCAAGTTGCCCAGGCTTGTCTTGAACCTACGGGTTCAGGCAATTCTCTTGCCTCGGCCTCCCTAAGTGCTGGGATTACAGGCTGAGCCACCAAACCTGGCCTGAAAACCATTCTTAACGTGTGAGCTGTATAAGAACAGACTGCAGCTTGATCTGATCTACGGGCTGGAGACTAAATACACACAGAAGGAGATGGTGCATGAAAACACACGAAACAAGGTTCGCGTGGGGGTCAATCATTACTCAGATCTCATCACCTGTGGTGTGTTCCTGACTGTATCTCATCTGTACAATTTTAGAAACTGAAAATTCATCGGATGTATTTAAGGCTTGAGATGGGTGGGACCTTGCAGAGACTTACAGAATTGCAGTTTTATTGCTGGAAGAAAACTCGGAGTCTATCTGATTTGAACCCCTTATTCATTTTATAGATAATAGAATTGAAAACTCATTAATAAATATGGTTCACTAACTTACAGATATCGCAGAGACAGCAGGCCTTCAAAAGTATCTTTCCGTAACTCAGTTATGGAGCTTTCACTGAGGATTCTGGAAAATGAAAAGGTTATTTCTGGGTGATCATGAAACAAATTGCAGCTGCTTGCCACACAGGACCAGCTCCTGTATGTGGAGGAAGCCTGGGAGTGATGCTGCTGAACACACGAATTCTGGTTGAATGCAGGGTGGTGATGTCTGCTGTTTTCATTTAGGCCCTCCTCACATTCTCCTCTTGTGCCCATACCTCTCTGCCACAGACACACCCCCCTCCCGCTCCTCCCACCAGCTTGTACACTTAATGCCTACTCTGGACCCCAAAGTCCCTGTTAGAGCCCAACTGCAAGTGGCATCATGACCAGCAGAATTGCCACCTCCTCTTTATCAAGCCCCATTAAGAAAGCCCCACGAGGAATTATGTCAGGGCTGCACGTGAAGCCTTTCATTTTCCCTCATTAAAAAATTTTGGAGAACAGCCGGGCTTGGTGGCTCAGCCTGTAATCCCGCGCCTTTGGGAGGCTGAGGTGAGTGGATTGCCTGAGCCCGCGGGTTCGAGACCCGCCTGGGCAGGCAAGACCTCATCTCTACAATAAAATAAAAAAATTAGACGGGCATGGTAGCACGCGCCTGTAATTCCGGCTACTCAAAAGGCTGAGGCAGAAGGATCGCCGGAGCCCAGCAGGTCGAGGCTGCGGTGGCCGGGAGCGGCCACTGCACTCCAGTCAGGGCGACAGAGTGAGACACCAACTCAAAAAAAAAAAAAAAAAAAAAAATTGGAGAACTACAATGTGCATAAAGCAGGCATAAAGTAAGTGTCCCGCTTAATAAAGATAAAGCAGAGACCTCTGTCACATCAGGTCAAGAAAGATCACTGCTAGCATCCAAAAAGCCCCCAGTGTGCCCCTCCTATCACTGCCCTCTCTCTGACTCCACTATAACAGCTTTTATTACTATTTTTTTAAAAGACAGGTTCACTCTGCTGTCCAGGCCAGAATGCAATGGCACAATCACAGCTCACTGCAGCCAAGAAGCCCCCAGTATGCCCCTCCCATCACTGCCCTCTCTCTGACCCTACTGTAACCGCTTTTATTATTGGTTTTTGGGGAGTTTTTTTTAGTTGGATTACAGACTAAGTCACCGAGCCCAGCTTATTATTGTTTTTTTAAGAGACAGGGTTCACTCTGCTGTCCAGGCTAGAATGTAGTGGCACAATCAAGCTCACTGCAGCCCTGAACTCCTGGATTCAAGTGACTGGCTTTCTTGCCCAGGCTGGTCTCAAACTCCTGGCCTCAAGTGATCCTCCTGCCTTGGCCTCCCAAAGTGCTAGGATTGTAGATGTGAGCTACCACCCCCAGCCCGCTATTTTGACTTTTATCGTAATTTTCTTGCCGTATTATTTATTTATTATAGAAATGGGGTCTCACTCTGTCACTCAGGATAGAGTGCAATCATAGCTCATTGCAGCCTCCAACTCCTGGGCTCAGGTGATCCTACCACCTCAGCTCCTCAAAGTGCTGAGATTACAGCATGCCTGGTCAATTTTCTTGTTCTTATTTTTTAATTTTTTAAATTTATTTTATTTTATTTTTTTTTGAGTTGGAGTCTCACTCTGTCGCCCAGACTGGAGTGCAGTGGCCGCTCCCGGCCTCCGCAGCCTCGACCTGCTGGGCTCCGGCGATCCTTCCACCTCAGCCTTCTGAGTAGCTGGAACTACAGGTGTGTGCTACCATGACCAACTCATTTTTTTTAAATTATTTACTGTAGAGATGAGGTCTTGCCAAGTTGCCCAGGCGGGTCTCGAACCCACGGGCTCAGACAATCCATGCACCTCAGCCTCCCAAAGGCGCGGGATTACAGGCTGAGCCACCGAGCCCGGCAATTTTTCTTGTTTTTAAAGTGTAGTTTTATCTATTAAATATCAGCCTTTGACATCAGAGATTCGTTTTACCTCTCCTTGAACGTTATAAATGATATAGTACACATGCTATTTCCTATGTCATTTCTTTCACTCAGCATCCTGTTTGTAAGGTCAAGGTGTTGTATACAGTTGAGGATGGTTCATTTCCATGCCTGTGTTGTGTGTCCAATGAGGTGCCATGAGCTACACGTGGCTGCTGAGTACCTGAGAGTGGCTGGTGGGACTGAGGGACTGAACCTTTAATCTCTTTAGCTGTAGTTAGTTTTAAATTTAAAAACTGATAGTGGATATAGTTATTAAGAAACATTTAAGTATGTTTGTATAACTTGTGTATATGGCGCTACTTTTTCAACTGCAAATTTTATGAAATCTAAATAAAGATTAAGCCGGGTTCGGTGGCTCAGCCTGTAATCCCACGCCTTTGGGAGGCTGAGGTGAGTGGATTGCCTGAACCCGCGGGTTCAAGACCCGCCTGGGCAGCGAGACCTCATCTCTACAATAAATCAAAAAATCAG